AGGGTTGCGATCCCGTTACCGGTCACACAAAAAGACAAAAAAAAAAAAAAAAAAGAGTTTGGATCCCCATACCAGCCAGGCCAAAAAATGATAATAACTATATGGAGGGGAGGCAGTTTGTGGGGGACAGCTTGGCCCTGGTCATTGATGATGGAGCCGGGTGTTGACACTCGAGGCTTCATTATGTCTATTTGGGGTATATTCGAAACCTTCCATAATAAAATACTTATTTATTTATTTAAGTTTCATAAAGTGTCCTTGGGGAGACTCGTTCAGAAATGTCTGTGGATGAAAAAACACAAGGAGCCTCAGGGTGGAGGGTGGGTGGGCGTGGAGGGGAAAGAAGACAGTGGCCAGGAGTGGGCGCTTGGGGGTTGCTTTACTTTCTTTACCTTTGTATATATTTAAAATCTAAATGAGGCAGTTATCAATATGAAGAAAGGCAGAAAAAGTGTCTGGGACCCTCAGCTCAGTCCAACTGGGACTTAGGGACAAACCTCCTGGGGGGGTCTGGCAGGAATGGAAGTCTCAGTGCCCACTCCTGTGAGCGGGAGGTTATGGGAACTTCAGGAAACTAGCAAACCGGCAAAGAGCAGCATATCCAGCAATTCCACTTCTAGGAATATGCCCCCAAAAGTTGAAAACGGAGAGGCATTCCAGGCTGGCAAACACGTGGGGGTGCTAGAAGAGTGGTGTGCATGGAGAGCTCCGTGCAATCCCCCCATGCCCCCAACACCTTGCCCTTCTGTGTGGCTGTTCCTTAGTTGCACCCAGCAATCAACTGGTAATAAGCTGCCAGCATGGAAGCCCTCAGATCTAGAAGAACAAAAGGACTCCGAGGCCTCAGGCTCCTGGGGAAGAGGGTTCCACCCCCGCTCTCTATCAGCTTCTTGGGAAGGCCTGCTTTAATTTCCAAGGGTAGATTCCAAGCTGATGGCCATTTGTTGGGGATACTGTGGAAGGGATTCCTCCATTGGACCAAAGACCTGACTACTTAAACAATTAAGCTCTGTAACACTATGCAAATTGACATAAGCACCCGTTTCACAAAGTGAAGCCATGAGCACCCCACATTATTATGCGGACAGCAAGTTGCTAGATCAACGGTTCTGAACTTGTGGTTATGGACACTTGGAGTTTACAATAACATTTCAAAATAACCAGGATTCCCACTGTGAACCAAGCAGACTGTTAACTGATAATGTTTCTTGAGCATGTTAAAAAAAAGAATTGAAACCAGGGACTCAAACAAGTAATTATACACAGATGTTCACAGCAGTGTGATTCCCAACAGCCAAAAGGTGGAAACAGCCTAAGTGTCCGTCGACGGATGAACGGACAAACCCAATGCGGTCCATCCATACACTGGAACATGACTCAGCCATGAAAAGGAACGAGGCTCTGACACGTGCTACCACGTGGATGGATCTTGAACACGTCATGCTCAGACGCCAGACACAAAAGGCCACATAGTGTGTGATTCCATTTACATGAAACGTCCAGAGCAGGCCGATCCAGAGAAACAGAAAGTGTATTCGTGGCCACTGGAGGCTGGAGAGGTAGAGAAAGAAGGGGGAAAAAGTAAAAGCAGTATAAGTAGTTTTAGAGACATGGAGGAAAATGGCAGAGAAAGCCACAAAAACTGTTGAAAGGGGGTCATCTGTGGGGAATGGGCTCGGTGGGGGCGTGGCTACTTTCCATCATGAGGACTTTAATAATATTGAACTATATGCATGTGTTATTTAGTTTTAAAAACTGTGTTAGGGAAATACTGTCACAAGGAGGAAAGTTAAGACAGGACCGTGAAAACAGGAGCATTTTACTGCATGTAAAGTACATCTCAAAAAAAACACAAAACCCTTCACAACAGTGAATTTGAACTCACCCCCAAACGAACAGACACCAAAACATATTAGTTTGGTAACTAGAGAAGACTGAAAATTAAACCCAAGCAGGGAAGGCAGTATTGTGGTTTATAGTCTACCAAAATTAAAAAGTTTCCGTCCTCTCTGATGGGCCTGGCGGTGTCCAGGGAGGCAGGTGCGGTCCCGCCTCTCATCAGGGGAGTTTCGCCTCCTTGATCTTCATGTAAATGGAAGCACTCTATGGTCTCTTGTGCCAAGCTTCTTGTGCTCAATCCAAATTGATTTTTGCCTTTTTTAAAAAGTTCACGGCCAGGTGTCTGTGTGTCCATACTGCGCCCTGAGCTCTGAGGTGGGCCTCCGTGGGTGTCTGCTGTTCTGGCCCCTGGCCACTTGGGGACGCCCCATTCTCCCTCTGAGCTGGTCTCCAGCACCTCTAGGGCTGTGATCTGTGGACAGGTTTCAGGTTCCCTGCACCCCTGGAATCCTTTTTTCTTAATTTTTATGTATATAATTGACCCACATCAGAATTCACCCTTTTAAAGTAGACAGTTCAGTGGTTTTTAATAATTTTGAGTTGTGCAACCATCACTATCAATTTTAGAACATGCAATCACCCCCAAAAGCAATCCTCTCCCCCAGCCCCCACGAATCCACTTTCTGTCTCTGGATCGGCCTGTTCTGGACATTTCATGTAAATGGATTCACACAGTGTGTGGCCTTTTGTGTCTGGCATCTGTCACTGAGCGTGACGTGTTCAAGGTCCATCCACGTGGTAGCCTGTGTCTGAGCCTTGTTCCTTTTCATGGCTGAGTGACGTTCCACTGTGTGGATGGACATTTGGGTTGTTTCTGCTGTTTGAGCCCCTTGAATCTTGACCAATTATTTTATAGGATCTTACAGGGGATGTTCAACCCCCCCCCCCCCCTGAAGGCTCAGAGTCCCTTGGACATTTCATGTAAATGGATTCACACAGTGTGTGGCCTTTTGTGTCTGGCATCTGTCACTGAGCGTGACGTGTTCAAGGTCCATCCACGTGGTAGCCTGTGTCTGAGCCTTGTTCCTTTTCATGGCTGAGTGACGTTCCACTGTGTGGATGGACATTTGGGTTGTTTCTGCTGTTTGAGCCCCTTGAATCTTGACCAATTATTTTATAGGATCTTACAGGGGATGTTCAACCCCCCCCCCCCAGCTGAAGGCTCAGAGTCCCTGTTCTAGAATAGCACTATCCAGTAGAACTTCCAGGTGACATTTATAACAGCTGCAGGAGGCTTATATGGGTAAAGAGGCATTTGCAGGGGGTTGGAGGGCAGTGAGGGTGTGGGGTATTCAGAAAGCTGCTCCTGCCCACCTGGGGCTGGGGCCACAGGGATAGCAGAGGCCAGAGCATTGGGCTTGGTTATGGGGTACTACAGGGGGTACTGGGTGCCTCATGGTCTGTCTCAGATGCCCCTTGAGCTGATAGTGTTGAGAGTCCTGGGAGCAGCAGGCTGGGAGGTGAGACCCTCCCATCCTTATCCCCCACCTGGCTAGGTCTGGTTCCAGGGCATCACAGCCAGGCAGACAGTGGTCAGGGCACGGGGTTTGGCCTAAGGGTCCAGGAGACCTTTCCAGGGCAGGGAATTTAACAGCAGCCCAACCCCTGAGGCTCCACCCATGCCTAGGACCCACTTCTTTCCATAGCAGGTCACTTCTGTCACCAGTCCACTTAGCCTGGGCCTGTTGGGGTCCTTGGGGTCTTGGGGAGAGAGGAAAGAATTCAGAAGGGATCCTCAACCTTGGACAGGTGGCAGCAGTTCAGTGTGAGAATGGGCTTTGGTACAGGGGGCCTATGACGGGAGGGGTCTCTTCAGTCTCCCGCCACACTCAGCACACAGGCCTGTACCTCGGCCCACGCCGCAGAAACCTCCTGAGCTCCTGAAGTGCGAGTGAGTGATCAGGGCCTCTTAGCAGGAGGCTAGCTGGAGAGACATCCAGAGGGAGCCAGAGACCCCCATACGGGATGGGTGAGGAGAGAGAAGGAAGGCCCTGACACAGCTGGAGGATGGGGACAGAAGGCCCCCGGGGGCCAGGCAGCACCTCCAGAGGTGGCCAAGCAGGTGAGGGGCGGGTGGTCATTCAAACTGAAGGTGGAGGTAAAGCAACTTCACCCCCGTTTCACTTAACCTGGGGCAGGATGGGGGTGGGTCTGATCTCACACCCATCTGTCCTCACTACAGGCAGCAGAGGGGCTGTGACCTGTGACCCCAGGCCAAGGAATGACAATGCCTGGGGGCTCCAGGGGCCGCAGCCCCCCACAGGTGACCCGATGCACCTCCTTTTCTAAAACCTACACACCCAGCTTCTTACACCAACATCACTGGGTCCTGAATGTCCCCAAGGCCAGAGGACCCCACTCCATCACCAACTATTCCCTCTTATCATCACAGATGCAGGCACTGAAGTCTAAGAACCTAACCCCGGGGTCACTTGGTGCTGCTGGCCTGACAGGCTGCAGCCCTAGAGGCTTCAAAACCCACAGTCTTCAGAATTAACACTCGGCTCCAAACCACATTCTCCTGAGGCGGCTTTATTCAGTCATGGGTATAGGACACACCACTGTCCCATGTCCCTCACCCCCTAACACCAGGCTGGGCAGAGCGGAGGCCGCGGCCCAACTACAGGCAGCACCCCAGGGACCCCAGGCCAAACAGAGAGGTCACTGTGAGGGGGCGCTGGGCCATTCCCACATACAACCGACCCCAGGAAACACTTTGCCCACTTGGAGGTCCCTCAGCAGCCTTGGCCTCCAAGAAAGGCCAACCTCCTGCGTGGCCCCAGCACCCCAGCCTGGCCAGCCACCACGTGGGGCCACCCTGCCCCGCCACGCACCACCAGCCTCCGTCCTCCAGGGAGTTGTGCTTTGACTTGACTTGGAAAAAAAGGAAAGCCATCGCTCGACATCCCAGGTGAGGGTCCTTGGGGGAGGAAGGGACGCTGCAGATACTGGTGACCTCATTAGAGGCCACCCTTCTGTCACCTCCCACCCCCGCAGCCCTCACCAGGCAGGCAGAGCAAAAGGTAGCCACGCAGGTGGATCAGGAACGCGCCAGCGGCTCTGCCCAGGGAGCCACATGCAGAGGTCGGATCCTGGTCAGGGGCAGGGACGGGGGCGAGAAGGGTCAACAGGACCGACCCCTTCTGTGGGCATAAGGCCGAGGCAAGAGGCAGGCAGAGCCAAGGGCTTGACGGGCCCCTCCCCCACCCAGGGGCAGACCTGGGAGCCAGGGACGAGGATGTCGGCCCAGAGGCCACTCAGGACAGACGGTGTGCAGGCACAGAAGTGCCCAGGCACAGGTAGGGGGAGAAGAGTTAGGTTACACGATGTTTCTGATGACCTTGGTGCCAGAAGCCGCTCCAGAGCCCACTATGGGGACAATTAGACCTCCGCCTATAAAACACACCTTGAGATAGCACGTCCAGGAGCCACAGCCCTGTCCCCATGGCTCACGGCACCAATTATGAAGAGAGCACCAACGCCCCCGTGAAAGCAGGCTCTCCACCCTGCTAGACAGAGGGGGACACTAAGGATCATGGGCTCCTGGCCGCACACTGGGCCCCAGTTCTCTGTGCCGAGGCTTCCAAGCAGGGCAGGGACTCCTGTCCAAGGCTTGTGCCTCCGGGGCTGGCGAGAGTGACAGTCTGGTTTCCAGAGGAGACAGCAGGGCTCACCTGCACGTGCAGCACACACAGCAGCGCGAAAGCCTGTTTGTGTCACGGGTTTATTGAAGGACAGGGACATCCTGAGTGTGCCGTTCGGAAGCATTCACTCGGGGCCGTCCTGCGCCGCTTCGGGAGGGCTGACGTTCTGGCCCCAGAATAACGTCCCTCACACCACACAGGTGAGGGGCAAGATTGTGTTTCAAAAATACATCTCCAGCCTCGTGGAAATACGGTAATTGAAAAGACCTCACAGGTGGCCCCCGGCTCCATGGCGCTCTCCTGTCTCCAGGAGGTCAGAGAGTGGCCACAGGGAGGCGACTGGCTGTAAGGTTGGGGGGCACCGGCTGGGCCCAAATCCATGTGTGGAGCCACAGCCCAGGAGGGGCCTCCTGCCAAGCAGGGCCCAAGAGCAACTGGCACTCCTGGAACCCCGGCCCTTCAGCGAGGAGCGGAGGGTCCATCGGGTGGGGGCCATCCTCCAGCCGTGCCCCTTGAGGCCCAGGGGAGGAGGGGACACGCCTGGGAAGGAGCGAGGAGGAGCTGCCTGCCTTCCCGCTGGGCCTGGCCACCAAGCCTGGTCCCAAGCATGGCCGAGGGCCGAGTCTATAGGCGGCTCGTACACAGGTGAGCTGGTGGCCCCGTCGTACTGGGCTCTCGGCAAGACCACTGGAAAAGGACAAGGAGAGGAGGTCAGAGACCCAGTGGGAGGTGTGACCAAGCTCTCCGCCTGCTCCAAGTGGGTGCCTGGGCTCTTACTGGAGACAAGAAACTCTCATAGAGAAGCTCAGGGGCTTCTGGAAGGTGACCCCTCGTCCCAGCTGCCACCGGCACACCCAGGCAAAGGGGATGCCGCTTCCAATTACTCCAGGCCTGTCTCCCCACTACAGGCCCTGCCTGACCGCATGCTGTGGCCCCTCTCCCAGCCAGGTCCGCCTGGCCCTCCCCACCAGGTAGCACCTGCCTTAGACGTGCTCCATTTCCTGGTCCTGGTCAGGCTCCTCCTCCTCGTCCTCTTCGTCCTCATCGTCGTCCTCCTCGGCACAGGCCTTGTCCAGCGGCGCCTCACCGTCGCGGGCCAGCTCCTCCACGTGGGCCAGCATGTCTGCCATCAGCGCCTCCTCCAACCGCTTTCGCACCTGCTGCACCAGCTCCTCCTGCTTCCTGGGGACACACACACGTACTGGCCAGGGACATTCAGTGTCAGGGCAAATGGAGGGCAAGAAGCCAGGAGAGCGTGGGCCACAGGGGACAAGGGGAAGAGGCGGTTCGGTCACCCTGGGGGCCCCACGCCTGGCCACTTTGGTCTCTTCCCCCACTCTATAGCAGCGAAGTGAGTTTCCTCTTTCTGCCGCTTAGGGGGGTTGGGAAAGAAAAAGACACCTCCGTTTTGAACCCATCACATCCGGCCAGAAGTGCCTCCTAACTCCCAATAAGCTTATGTAGCTGGAGAACTCTAGGCGATGACCCTCACTGTGGCTAAGAAGCTGGCGCCAGCTCACGTGTCACAAAGCCAACCCAACCTCCCCCTCTGGTGCAGGCTGGCCCAGCCCCTCCCTGTGGGGCCCCTTCTCTCCTCCCGTTCTCTACAGCTCTGCCCTCTCCACCACCCAGCCGGGCTGACTCACTCCACGCCAGCACCAGCCTCTCGCTCTCTCTCCAGCTAGGACCAAACCTATTGCTTGGCCTGTAACTGAGTTTTTTTCGGTAGCTGGCTGGTATGGGGGATCCAAACCCTTGACCTTGATGTGAACTAAGTTATTAACTTCCATGACTTTTATTTGTAGAGGTTTTGCTGAGCTTTTAAGTATCTTTCTAGTCTTTTTTAACAATCTTATTCTTTCCTTAGTCTTTCAATTCCTTCTATTCTGTGAGTCTTCATTTTGGACGAGTTCCCAGACTGTACGGAAAGTGTAAATTAACCTTAAACTCAAATGAAGGGGCCTATGCCATGGTCTGGGGAGGCTCCCCTGACCTCCCTGTCCTCACCAGTCACAGCAGACAGGAACATTCTGGTCATATTCACTGTCCATTCAGGACAAGACCTTCTGGGACCCCCTACTGTGTGTGCGTGGGGGGTGAAGGGTGGTTTTAGTTCCATCTCCTTACCTTGCACGAGGGTACAAGGTCTCCTCTCTCATACCCATGTGGCTTTTAAATCTCCAGTCACTGAGACAGGGAAGCCACAAAGCCTGAGCCCCCTCCCCCCAGTCCAGATGCAACTGCACCAGGTTTTGGTTCCTCCTTTGCTCTGGACCCCTGGAGAGCTCCCTTCCCTTCTTTTGACCTGAACTGTGCATTTAGATTTCAAACGTATGTTTTCTCCTCCCCGGCACTCATAAATGCTTCCTGCACATGCCACAGTCTCCAAGATGAGTTCAAAATCACCTCTCTACCAGGAGACTTTTACAGGAAGTCCCAGCAGATGGCCACCTCCTGGCCACAGCATCCACCCTGCACCCTGGTTCTGCCCTGAAACCGCTCCCAAGGGCCTGTCACCCACGGCTCCAGCCCAAACCCTGAGGCCCAGTATCCAGGACTCCTGGTGACCCGGCACCTTGACTGCTTAGCATCTGCCCTGGCTATTTCCCGTTGTGTGGCACCTATGGTCCCTGTGGCTCTGAGGGCTCCACAGGCTGTCACTCCTCACTGCACCCTGGCTGGCACCTGAGGGCAGGGGGCTGGTCTGATCTCTCCCCACAACCCCAGGGCCCTGCACAGAGCCCAACACACAATACATGCCAATCAACACTGGCTGAAAAGTGTTCCTTCCTTCTCTTTCCAAGGATACTCCTCAAGAGCAAAGACATCCTATAATCCCTTGAATAGGCACCTGCCTGGTTTGTCCTAAACCAAGGACTTGAGTGAAATGGTTAATGCTCACTCTTTAACAATCTCTAGCTCACCACAGCTATTCGTTTCAAAACCCCAGCAGTGTCAGCAGAAACACGTTAGTCGAGAGGAGATGAAAGAGTACGCAGGTGCTCACAGACACTGGCCCACAACCCCGAGAGATCGGGCGAATGGAGGGATGAGGAGGGTGCGTGACTACCTGATGTCCTCATCGGTCACCATGAAGGCTTTGCACAGGGGCTGCGCCGTGTTCAGCCACACGCCTGGGTTCTTCTCCACGGCGGCTGAGAGCTGCCCTGTGATGGGCATGGTGCTGGTGTGCAGGGCACTGGCGATAGCTGACAGCAGCGTTTCATCTGTGCAGCCCGGCCCCACCCCTACCAGGGCAGGAGGAGAGATGGCCGGGCAGGGCAGTCACCACTGGGCAATGGCAATGCTGAATCACGCCCCTCTCCAGGCTCAGGGACCCCAGGAAATGCCCCCACCAGATGTTCTGCCTTCTTCCCTCCCCGTGGGGTGTGTGAGGTGGGCACGTATGATCCCTAATGGTAAAGTTGTAAATCCTGCTGGTCAAAACACCTCCCTGTGCCTACTCTGCACCGGCAGGTGGTCCAGCCAGGGTATCTCCAAGGTCAAGTCAGAAGGGTTTGGCCAGGGAAGCACCTCCCGCCCCCCCAGGTCCAGGCACAATTGCCCTCAGGGCCCACAGCATGAATATTTATCTCTTCCACCTCAACCCCTCCCCTCCAGGGCGCCTGGGTCACCTTGCAGGCCCTTGGGGAGGTCCATGGTCTTGACGAGCTCCTCAGCAATGTCGAAGGCATTCAAGCCACTTAGCTTCTTCTCCCAGAAGAGCTGGGAGGAAACACACAGACATCGACGAGGACAGCCAGGGACTCAAATCCCCTCACCTTCTACTGCATGCCTGCACTCAGGGTCCTTGCAGGGTTGGGGTGACCGTGTGACCTCCTCCCCCTACATGCGCCCCCCCAATCTCCCCTCTCCCTTACCCCAGGTGGACCTCCTGCTCAGCGCCCACCACACACCCAGGTAGTCAGTGAAAAGCATGTAAAACACCACTGGTTCTCAGTTTTTTAAAAAACAGGTTATAAAACCATATATGTACAGTTGGCCCTTAGTATCCAAGGGTTTTGCATCCACGGATTCCACCAACCACAGATCAAAAGTATTTGAAGAAAAAACACCAATAAAAAATAAGGCAAGTAAGAAAGCAATATAGTAAGTCAACAATATGCATATCATTAACATCACGTTATACCTTATAAGTAATCTAAAAATAACTTAAAGCTTACAGGAGGATGTGCGTAGGTTACATCCAAGTACTACCTGTTCTATATCAAGGACTTGGGCATCTGCGGATTTTGGTATCAGCAGGGGGTCGTGGAACCCATCCCCCGCGGTACTGAGGGAGGACTGTACGGCCTCATTTAAAACATCTCCCCGTAAAGCTGAACGGATTCAAGAAAACAGCGGGTCCGAAGACGCCCACGGGCCCGTCCCCGCAGGGGGCTCCAGGCGGTGGGCAGGGTGACACCCTGCTCCAGCCTCCCACAGAGCTGGTGTCTGTGGTGAAGGGCTCCATGAGGGAGTGAAGCGGGACGCAGGCTCTGAAGGGTGGACCCCGCTGTGGAAAGGGCCCTCCAGCGCCTCCTCAGGCAGCCAACGCGCCTGGGCTCACCTGCCGGGGCTGGTCCACCGCCTTCTGAGGGTCGCTCTTGACCTTGTTGCTGGGGTGGTTGGTGATCTTGGTCACGGGCTGCTTGAAGATGGACGCCGTCTGCCTGACGGGGAGCGCCGTGTTCAGGTCGGGCTTGCCCTGCAGAGACCAAGCGCTGACGCCCGGCCCGGCCGCGCCCGGCCCGGGGAGACGCGCGGGC